AAATTAGATTTTCAATGAAGGTATGTCAGGAAAAGAGGGAGATATGCTACCAGTGACCGTAGCAGGAGCTGCAGCAGCGCCTGAACAGGCAGTAACGTTAAATAAACATAAAAGACGTAAGATTTCACCTTCCAAACTGAAGAAATCTATTAATTGTGAAAATGCTCAAAGTGCTGAGACGGAGCGAAGCCGTTATTTCACCAGCAATGGCCCACAGGAAAGACTGGGAGATGAATTTTTCAATCAACCTTGCATCAGTTTGGCTAAAGATTTCCTCGGCAAGGTAACGCTGCCATCCCACATTAATACAGGAGATAACGTGATGCATTCAGTAAAATGTGTATCACCGCTACGTTTCCAAGTTCCCGTGAACTCAGACCATAAGAACCACTGGTAAGCTGTTACAGAAGATCCCCTTTGGGCAGTTCTGTCCAAGCAACTAGACAGAGACAAAGACACCACTTTCTCTGAAGGTGTTGCTCCGTCTGGTAACTTTGACTTTCATTAAGTCACTGGTCATTACAGTCTCTTCGATCCTTCATCTAAACACTTGGGGTATTTCATTGAATTACACTTCACAGATATATCTATGATTACACTCAGCTACCCATTTCAGCAAAACCCCAGACTAGGAGAGATGAGTTTTATGAATCTGATCTATAGTGTCAACAAAAAATCTAATGTGCTCATCACAAGTTCCCAGAGCCCACATTTTCAAATATCTGAACAATCCAAACCCAGAAGATTCTCAGTTTATTATCACAATGAATTTGTTGACTAATAATAATAAAATCAGTCTTGGTTCTTTGCTCCACAGGTGTTGGTCCGCAGGTGTTCTGATGGTACTGAGCTGCGAGGGAGAATAGTAGAAACTGAAGCCTACCTTGGTGGAGAGGACCGAGCTTCACACTCAGCAGGAGGCAAACGCACAGAGAGGAACACGGCCATGTTCATGAAGCCAGGCACAATCTATGTGTATCCGATCTATGGCATCTACCTCTGCATGAATGTGTCTAGTCAAGGTAGAAGCATCACTCAAAGCAGAACCACCTGCCTCTTGTTGTGTTCACTGATACATGCAAACTAAAAGTTATAAAGCTCTTTTCACTTTAATGTGTTTGTTATTAATATGACATTACAGCTAGTGGTTTACCGTATGTTTTCCATCATCAGTGGGTAAAGGGCAAAAGGAAGGAGACAAGGCGGCACCTTGCTGACTGATGCATATTGTGTGCTGTTTATCACAGGGGAGGGTGCTGCTGTGCTGCTGCGCTCCCTCGAGCCCCTGCAGGGGTTGCCTGTCATGAGACAGCTGAGGTCTGCTAGACGCAGAGAAGGAGCCCGGCAACTGAAGGACAAAGAGCTCTGCAATGGACCTTCGAAGCTGTGCCAGGCTCTAAATATACTGCGCTGTTTTGATCGCAGAGACCTAGCCTCAGATCCAGAGGTGTGGCTGGAGGGGGATGCCAACACAAGTCAGGCAGAACCACATGATATAGTATCAGCACCCCGCATTGGGATCGAGTCCCATGGGGACTGGGCCAAGAAGCCATGGCGGTTTTATCTCCGCGGGCACCCTTGTGTTAGTGTAGTGAATAAAGAGGCAGAAAAACAGTGACTCTCTGGAAACATAGTGAATGAATGATGTGATGTCAAAAGCACTTAAGAACGTTCATGAAACTACTTGGAGATCTGTTCCCTTTGTGAACAGGCAAAATAAAAACAAGAATTTTCTGTTGGTTTTGCTGCTGGAACATATTGGTTATACTAATGAAATGAGTACTTTTTAAAGGAAATAATTACATCATATTTTTATAATTCTTAGAAAGTCGAGATGTTGGTTGAAAGTCTGAATATGCATAAATCATACAAAATGTTTCATCTATTTTGTAAGCTGCTATTTATTTCACCAGTGTGTTATTAATGGTACTGATGCAGATGTGTACTGGAGTAGTAGAATAGTAACAGAACCTAAGGCAGCTTGTGTAAGACTCAATGTTTCAGTGCCTGCATCGGGAAAAAAATCCGTCCTGAAATGTCCCTCGACTCTCAGGAGTCTCTTTTGTTCGGGTCTTCCATCTGTTTTTCTATAAACATTCATACTTGGGAAACTCTCCCGTCAGTGATTTCACAGATGTTTGGAACGCTCCGCTTCCCTCAAAGCAAAAACAGCTTGTCTGATGTTTGGAGTCTTCCTTTTCTTGCTGTTTTTCTCTCCCCACCTCTGGGATCCCCGAGGAGAGGAAGCCTGAGATCTGGAATGACCATTACTCAGCGTGCCCCTCTGTGGGCAGTACATACAGATATGACCACATCTGGGACAGGGGAAGAAGATACACCATTGACTCCCTGCACCCATCTTTCCAATATTCAGAGTTAACAACTAAACTGTCTGTGGTATGTAGAAAATAATTTAATATTGTAAACAAACATTTGGCTCATAAAGGAAAATAACACTTTCTACATTTTGTAAGTCTGCACACATTATCACAACCTTTCTGTCAGTTCATTCTGAAAGATCAGTGAACAAAAGCAGTTAGCTGTAAGAACAGCAGGCTGTAAACTGCTCTCTGCCACTACTCCATGGGTGACTGAAAGATAGAAATAACAGGATCCTCATGGTTGGTCACCACAAGGATACTGCGAAACTTGTCAAACAGTGTCTTGAGTTGTGAGCGCCTCATGTTTTCATTGTACATAATCTCCTCCAGGTGGTGATGTCCCCGGAAATAATGCAGCAGCCTGAAAGCAGTCGATAAAACAGGCAGAAACATTTAGTTGAGAGCTCGAGCTTCACTGATCCATTAACTATGTACATCAACCACGAGCCAGGACTTTCGCAGTTTCCCCCCCGAGATAAATAAAGTTCTATGAATCCTGAATCATCTTCATTACCATGCAGGAGGTAGCACACACCACTGACTACCTGATGGGTGAGCTTCCTAGACATGTTTTATTTTCAATATACTCTCAGCTGGCAAATTATCAGGTCTTTTCCACCAACATTTCCAATTAAATATCTCAATATTCTTTAAAAGCAATTAAAATAATTGTCCAAACCACTGTTCAAATATCTTATTTCCAAAGAGACGTAGACATTTTAACTAAATTTTTCATTGGATCCTATAACTGAGAGCAGAGAGCTGTCACATAGAGGTCTTGGAAACATTTGATGCACAAGCACAGAATATGTTAAAGGCTTTTTTAAAGGCAGACTTAATTACCTGGCAAACATCCGCAAATCCTCTGGATTTTGTGCAGCAGGGATGTTGAGAATAACCTGCCTCTCATACTCTGAGAGGCTGGCAAGCAGGGTCTCTGTCATCCTCTTGTTGAGCGGGGAGTCGCCACCAGGTAGCAGCTCTGCACTGGAGTTGTCCATACTGGGGCTGGTGAGGGTCATGTCATCACTGCTGGCTACACACAGGGAGCAGACAAGACAGCAAAGATTATCTAATACCTGTTGCACCTGAAAAAGCATGGTCGGACGTGTGAGCTGAGGGAGGACATACTTGGAGAACCGAAGCTGAGAGCGCTAGGCGTGCTGAGACTTCGGCTTCCTACTCTGGCAGCCATTGGAGGGTCTTCATCCCTTAGCCCAGGCTCATCCTCACTGGGTGGGACCAACAGGCAAACATAAGTATGCAGCTGGATCAGCAAGCGGCGCTGGAGCATCCACACCACCATCTGGATCAGGTGAGCCTAGTCAGGAGCAGAGCAGCAAACCACATTACAGCTGAGCATAGAGTAAACACTGAGTGAGTAAAACTGAGCATGTTCATGTCCCTAACCAGGTTAAATGTGTTTTAAATAAGCCATGGGTACCATACAAGCTCAGAATAGTCACAATAAGGAACCATGACTCTGATCTCATAAAAAATAGAGGCTGTGATATCAGTAGTTGATGTCCCTTTGCATTTATAAATCATCCCCACTGCTCAAACAGCTATGCCAAAACAACAAGGGCTGGAGGAGAATACCACACGGTCCTTCACTTATAATACAGTATCTAAATTTACAATAAACTACATTCACATTGATCCTGCTATAGCTCACCTCCCTGCTGTGTTTTAATATGAGGGGTGTGTTGGTTGGGGGGGTGAGGGGTTGCAGGCATGTACAATGTTGGAACAAGTCCTTCATTCTACTACTTTGTAACAACAGCTCTACCTCCTGTGCAGGAGCTTCCAAGGGGTTTCTGAATTCAGCCAGTGAGACAGGCAGTGAGAACTTGGCTAACATGGAGGGCAGATCATGACCAGGAAACTGCTGGGCAAAGTGCTCGGCCAGTGGTGAGTATCTGTCCAGGGAGAGATGGCACACATTATTCTAAAACACAGAAAATCTCCATTAACAATTTCACAACACAGTCTGAAGTGACTTAACAAGACCAGTGATGTCATAGTTCACACTTACAGGCAGATATTGGCGTGAGGAGACAGCATGTAGACGTTGTTCTCGCACAGGGGGTAAATGATGATGGCTTTTCCCCAGTAAACCAAGTGGGCAGCAATTTGAAAGATCTGAGAAAGGAAATGTTGTGCAAATGATATCACTGATGTGAAATCTAAACTGTCAACTGAAAATCAGCTGTCAAAGAAAAATAAAAGCAACTGCTTCTTGAACTACACACACACACCATGGGAACTTTCTCAGTTTTACCTTGAATGTACAAATATTGTCCACTAGATGGCAGTATGACGCCATCACTGACTTCTCTGGGTAAACCTTTGTAACAGCTCTTAGACAGACATTGTCACATCAGCATTGTTGTGCTTTTTGCAATCTCTTGTAATTTTTCTGTGCATAAATTTGATCACATTAATCTTTCCCAGTGTATTATGCCTTGAAACTGCTTTTAAAATACACTACTTTCACTAAACTATTTGTGATACGGCATGTGCATAATAACTATGAGGTTAAAGATATTTTTAATTATGAAAAAGTGTTCCAAATGTTAAGAGAAATGCCTTTTTAAATCAGAGAATGATACCCAGTGTTATAAAGTGCAGTGGTGTGATGGATGCTGTGTGCACTGTTATGCACCTGAAATAAGTCCAGGTCAGCGTCCTGGGCAAGCTGCTGCAGGTTTTTCACTGCTGAGCAGGTTTTGATGAGGCGCACCATCGCAGGCGAGCAGTCCAAAGGAAGCTGGCTCAGCAGTGCCTTCTCACTTTCTAGTAGCAACAGGGCATGATAGGGTCTGAGGGACGAAACAACATACAGTGTATTGCAGCCTTTGACTAAACAAATCTCCTCTTTATAGACCGTGACTGCCTCCTCAACAGAAACCAGAAGGAATCATCTTTAGTATCTGTATCCATGTACAGGTGAACTGTGTGTGTGATCTGACAACACAAACTGTGGCTGCTGATGTAACAGTAGGTGGCAGTATGGCCCACAGAAACCTTCACATGGTTTCTTCAGATGCTTTAAATAGTAGCTCAGTAATGAAGCTCACAAACCCTGAGCCCTAAATCAGCTGTTAAAGCCACAATACTTCTTTGACATCACAAACGGTCTGTTTCCAGGATTTGATACTTCTTGCCAAGCAAGTTGAACTGTGGGCCAACAGAGCATCCAACAGCACAGTCATGTGCCATTTGATAGACACGTAGGCCTATACAGGCTAAATATAGGTATCTGTCAGGGTCACTGTGCGTATCACTTCTTTTGTTCGTCTTTTCTCTTTCTTGGCAATTTACATGTAGTCGCCCAGCGTCGATCAAACATTGCATTAAAGATGTTTTATTTGTAACAGCATTTCTGAGCTGAGTTTCTGCTGTGGGGAGGCGGCTGCTGGGTGGAGTATCTGTTGTTGGTTGTGACAGGCCACTATTAGTACCATAGTCTTCAACGTCTGACTGTGTGTTGCCAAATGTATAGTTCTAAAAGTTTTAAACTGGTGTTTGCCCTGGTTTTACTGTCAAAAGGTTACTCTTCTGGTATATTGCTATTGAAACAAGATTTTATCAGCTAGCAAAGTACAAAAAACATACTGTAAATTAAAAAAAAAAAACACAAACACACCTTATAGCCTTAAGGCTACGCTCTAATGCCTCTGGGGGGATATAATTGCCACCAATCCTGTGGATCTTGTGTGGTAAACAGAAGCTCACCTCCAGCCAGCTGTTAATGTGTAGTCGTACCACACCGGATGTACAAAGGCTGACAAAACATCAAGACCATCATTAATAATGACACTGTTAAAAAAATAAATCAGCTGCCATTATTTTCTGGCACAATGGATATAAAAGCAAAAGAATAGCACTAATCTGTGTGAATGAACATATAGAACAATAAATAAATAAAATTATTTACTGGTATATAAATTCATGCAATCAACCCAGTGAGACTGTTATTCTAAAGGACAGACACTGAGAAAACATGACTGGGCACTTCCAGCAAACAACATACACACACACACAAAATGTGAAATGTGCTTCATCACACACCTGTCGTAAGCCTCCTTCAGGTCCCTGGCTAGCTTACATTTGGGAAGAATCTGTCTAAATGGGGACTGGGGACTTCTGTCCGCTGACATCAGGAAAAACAGAGAACACTGTCAGGGTGTACTGTCATATCTAAAACTGAGTATTAACATCATGATGTTAATATCACAGACGGTTCTACAATAAATATGCCAAGACATACAACAAATTTGTCTTTTGTTTCACTGAGACAGAGCTGTTAATTTCTGAGGTGTGAGCTCTGTGCATCTCACTCTCAGTTGTGGTGGTAATCTCATCCTGAACGGCCAGCATCAGTTTGGCCTCTCTGGTCAGGTACTGGCAGCGCCGCTCCTCGTGCTGCAGGGCTATGGCGATGCGGCGTGACAGGTTGTGCATGCAGCTGATGACGGAGGGGTCAGTGTTCGCCTTTAGAGCAAAATGATGACAGAAACTTGTTACACATAAACAGCTCTGAGATTATACATTACGCTGCATTTACAACATTGGTGCTTTCATTTGTAGCTTAGTTTGTGCATATGTCGCATTATCAGTCAAAAATATATGGGCCTTTTGAGCTTTATATGTTGTAAAGAACTTTGCATGCTACACACTTAAATATGAAAGACATGTTAAAGGATAGAGCTGGAAAACCTAAGTCAAATCATTGTATGTTTTAAATGAGGCTGAACAAAAGACACAATGGTCACTGACTTATATCATCACTTGGTAATGAGATCAGTTCTGATTGTTCTACTTTCCTCATGAATGTACATGTAGCAGGACTATAAAATGACTTACTGTGAATCCATTCAAAATGTAATGCTTAAATCTTGTGCAATCAACTATAAATGAAATACACAAAAATTACTCCCATAGTGAAGACACACTGCTATATTAAAATAACCCAAAGTGTCTGTTATTCTTGTTGAAGGTCATGGTGAACAAACGCCACAGTTGCTGGGCAGCGATCATTGGCAAAATATGACTAAGCATTTCTGCATTTCTCTCCCATCTTAGCTCTACTGGAACTTACTGAGAAGAGTGACTCAGCATGGGTAGGACCAGGCTGTGCCCTGTTGGGCAGTGTGATTAGGCAGAATAAATTTGCCCCTCCTCTGCCTGAGGTCCCATGCTTTCACAGATAGAGTATACTGGAATATTATCACCCACACACACACACCCTCCCATATACAGATTAACAGAACACAGAATCTATGTCTCCCACCCACAGTCAGATGAATTAACCAAGTTATCATTAAAAATAAAAATGCCAAATTAAGTTGTAATACTGTAACATTAAAAGTGATACTCATTATTTTCACAAATATAGCAAAAAGCGGTCTTCTTTGCTCCTAGGTAGGTAGGACTTTATTGATCCCACAATGGGGAACTTCCTGTGGTCTAGGTATCAAATATATAAACCAGATCTACAAACCACAATCATATCAACAATTAGAATTAAAAATCTAAAGGAGCCTTTCCATACCCTCAGTGCAAACACCACATTAAACAGGATCATTGTGGGCACCTCTCTCTTAGGAGAAGGATCTGTTTTAGAAACCTGTGCAGAAAGAAGACAATTTACAATCATATGAGCAAGATGTGAGTCTACAACATATAGATTCACATTCAAGGGAAATTATAAGGTATGATCAGTTTTAAAACCAGTTCAATTCCCAAATTAAGGAGCAATTACAAATACTGCATGAATAATTAAGAAGTAGAAACAAAAAAATCAGTGAAGGGGGCCCTGCTGAAGTTAATCTAACAAAGTAAATAAATGAAGAGGATCTTGAAGTCATGAAAAATGGCCTTATCAAACCCAGATGGCAAAACACATTAATACTATAATAATATTAACAGAATTCAAGAGGGACTGTTCATTTTTTAATTGATATTATTACTCACAGGTGGCTAATACAGTTTATAATATCAGATACTGCAAAATACACATCAAAATGGCTGCAGCCCACTAACTGAAGATTAACATAGTGACTCGCCACTCAGTATATCCCACTTATTCAGTTGTGCTCCTAATGTGTGCAGAGCTGCTACAACATTTTTCCTGCCAGATGGGGGAGGAAGAGACTGTGACATGCCGATTTTCTTAACAGTAGACACAAGCTATCTGACCAGAGGAAAAGGGCTGTGACATGGCATGTGGCTTCCTGGTGCTTTAGTTCGAATCAAGAATGACTCTACATCTTTGCATTAGGCTTCAGTTGTTTCCTACCTGAATGATAGGAGGATGCTGGAGGAGGGTCGGGTGACCCACAAATCGAACATTGTCTATCTTCAGTTCAAACTTCTTACCACACATATCAGATTTGGTGGCCAGGATGGTGGCGAGGATGATGTCAGAGAACCTTTAAGAAGGAGGACCAGACTCAATAAGAAAAGTGTGAAGGGTAGAAAGACAACACAGAAACTGTGTGGACAAGTGAAAAAGTTTATAGTATGCCTGCTTGTTTACATTCTCCACATTCCTGTCTATAAGAGGGGTTGCATTAATCAGACTTACCTGAAACGTAATTCAATGGTCAGAAAATAAATATAGAAGCTTGTGTGGCTACAGGAGAGGAGAAAAGAGCAAGAGGTCTCCTTGCAGAAAAAGGGAAGTTGCTGCATGAATTAAGAATGTGAAAGACTCATGCTGGTTTGACTTAAGACATTCATGCTGTGTTCAAGGGGATAAAAATCAAGGCATTAACCTACAGTAAAAACGTTTATCTACTGTAGACTTACCCCACCAGCACAATAAAAATATAGATGCTTTATAAGTTTGCATTTGGTTTTTGGTTATAAAATCAATGTGAATTACAAACTAATTAAAGTTTTAAACAACCGGATTTCTTTGTTTGTTGTTGTTCAAAAGACACAGTGCAGAGGACAGCAACACTGAAACCCCCAAATAACCAAACACTGATTCACTGAACCTTTACAAGTTGGGTTGTTTTTTTAATTATTTTTTTTATATTTGGATTGGGGATTCATGTAGGACACAAAACAGGAAAGAAGGGGATAAAAAAGATGGGTGATCTAAGCAAAGGAAGGGTGGTTTAGAATGATTAGGTCTTACCCAGCTACCAACTGTTCATCAGTTAGTGAAGACTGTTCTCTGAAATAGGAATTGGGCCATAAAAAAGAAGAAAACAAACAAAAGGGAAAATGCAACACACAGTTGGGCTGAATGCATAAAATGGACATCAAAATAACCCCAACAAACATGTGATGCTATTATGTGAAAAAGCTAGTCTCCAGGTTGATTCAAGCACACTGCCAGAAAAACCTGGCTGAGGTTAAATGTCAATAACACTGACAAATTTCTGTTTATGTAGCTAAATGAGCTGAAATGTCAACATGAAACATTTGACATGAACTCAAGCACACAACAGTTCAAGTAGTGTATGCCATAACTAGCCACATAAATAGTGCAAAGCACTTTATACTGGTCTTCACAAATTTGCATGACTTCAGATTGTTCAAAATGCTGCTGCCTTTGTTGGATTACCCGTAGCGAGTGGAACTATAGTCCAACCAACCAAGGAGTGACCAGCAATAACATCCATAAAGTAGCAGTATAATAAAAATGAAATACTGTTCCAAGACTGAACAGTTCCCTGTCTGGTTGGCAAATTTTGTTCTATTATTGTTTTTCTGGCGGCTCAACCACTCATCATGAACAGTGAGAGGAAACACTGCACTATGTC